GTTACTTTTACTTGAGTAAAGAAGTTTAATCAGTACTTCCACTTTTACCAGAGTATCTTTTAACACCAGTATCTGTACTTTTACTCATGTACGGAAAATGAGTACTTTTGCCATCTCTGCCAATACATTTGTATTGTCTTATTTACCTGGCTATTAAATTAACACACTTTCCCAGCTGTGAACCTAACACCTCACTCCATTCATGTTGCCCCGCGTTTCCTATTTAATTAATAATTTTACTAGGCTACATTAAAAAAGGTAATTTGGCATCACATTGCAATGAGATGATAGTAAAATGACAAAATCTGCTAAGTCTATAATATGTGTATGCAATCCTTTTTCAAAAAACAGGCTCTAACCACAACAATCACTTTATGTAAACCCACTCTGTATTAAGTATAGTTATTTTATGGTTTTATGATATTTTATCCCACTTTTTATCAAACAATATGCAATCCTCGTCTCAGCGATTCCATGGTAAAGTTGAAACAGACTATAACAGATTATAGGCACAGAATACAGCATAGGCATTGGCCTAGGTTTTAAGTCGAACACAAATTTAAATGATGTCGCAGCGAACTGGAGAAGAGCGAAATCCTCGCTCAGGCCTTTGAATTGAAAACCGCTCTGCGCTCTACCATATTTCTTCTGCCCCGCTCCACCACTCACTCCACTTCACTCTCCGCTCACATGCTCTGGTTGGAGTTAAACACCTCCCTGAGTGAGGACATCAGACCTTCTCTACTGGCTTAGCCCTGCCATGTCTGTTCAGCTTCTACTTCTAACAGCCTATCCAACCCACCACTAGGTGGTGATCGGTATACAGTTCTGTCTTTCATTTCACCATCATGTCTAAGACAAGTGGGGGAAGTTCCGAAGATATGACTACAAAGTCGATCCTCAACATCTGGGGTGTCCTGGTGCCAAGAGACCAACAGACACCCTTTGCTTGAAAAGGATGTTCATTTTGTAAAATCCATGACTTGCACAGAGGTCCAGCAGTGGAGGCACTATTCCTCAAAACCATGCCTCTCCAGGTGTGACTGACATTTCCCACAGGGGCACTGAAGTCCCCAAGCAAAGCAATGGTATCCATGAAAGGGGAGACAATCAGCCCACCCCATATATACTGAGAAGGATTGGTACTCTGTTCAGCTGATAGGCCAAAATAACAGTAACGGGCCTCCCCCTACCCAAAGGCACAGGGATATGACACCCTTAGCTATCCGAGTAAACTCCAGACAGCTGAGCAGGGAGGGAAACAAGCAGAGCAAGCTTAGCCCTCTGACTCTACCCATGGGCCACTTCAGGGTAGAGAAGAACCAGCCTCTTACAAGGGCTAGGTTCCAGAGAAGAGGTTATGCATGGAGATGAGCCTGATTATTTCTTTCTGGCTCCTTACTCCCTTGTTAAGGTGACTGTTCATGTCCCTAGAACATTAGAGTTATTGGACCAAATAAAAGTGCTATTAAAAAAAAAGGTTTACATTTCCATTTGTCTCCATAGTAGAGTAGCTTACCACTTTGACTACAATGGCTGTGAACCACTTGTTTCTATAAAAAGTGCTCCATAGCTACAGCTTGAAAATGTGTCTGAACAGTTTGTGTGTGGGATGTGTGCAGTTTTTCTGAAATGAATTTATTCAGCTCAAAGTCTAGCAGAGCAGCCAAGTTAAATATTTACATTTACAGTTAACTCTGTTATTCTAACTGAACAGTTTGAATGTTCGTGCACTCCAGACTGTGCTGCCCTGACACTTACATGCTTTTTGTTTTTTTGACCATGTTATTTCAATTTTGCATGTATCATAATATATTTTCAACAATCCTATGAAAAACCGTGTTTTGTAAAATTTTATAAGATTAAATTAGAATTCCCCTATATGCTAAAAACAGTAAAAGCTTCTGACATTTTGTTACAGTATTTGTGCAGTTGTTGACTTGTTACTGTAAAGTTCAAGTCTGTTTCCTTTTTTCTTAAAAACATCCCATTGTGAATCTTTGTTTGACACAACATTTCCCAAGCTCTTTGTGAAAGGTAATGTTTTAAATCAAAAGTTTTTTAAAGCATTAAATCTAGATCTACTAACTAAGAAGACACTTTTATTCCACAATTGTTGCTAATTCTCAACTTGAGTCCTTATGTAACATAAAAAACAAATCTTTCACCCACCCCTTGTATTTCTGGCTAGGGTTGATGGTTCATCTTAAATTCCGGACATCAACCAGGGGCCTAGGTGCTTAAGATTTCTTAGCAGTATTTTAACTGTCAGAAGTACTGCACTCTTCTGTACTGAGATGTCTGATGTTGAAGCCAATTCTCCATTATGGCGGTTACTGCCCGCCCTGAGGGTTCCGATGACCACAGGCACTAGTGTTGCTTTCACTTTCCAGGCTCTTTCTGATTATTTCCTGACCTTTTAGTATTTCTTCAGTTCCTCATTTTGGGATAACCACATGGATCTATTGTTGGCCTTTTAAAGTTCATGTGCATGGAACTCTGCTGAAATGCAAAAGTCTTGCACACTGCCTTGTATTTCAAACACAATTTGTCTCATTTAGGTCATTTCTATCTTGCAGAAACTTCATTAGTTTTCAATCCCGAGGAAGATCCTTTAGATTGCACCTTTTTTGACGTAAATTAAGCCATTTCAATAGAAGACAAAGCAGGATCTTAACAACAAGACACATTTTTAATTATCTAGCATGCAAAAGTTTGAGAAAACACTGTCAAAATAACATAAATACCATTATTGGAGTAAAACGTCAAAGAAGCTTGATATTAATCTAGTGTCAAATTAACAAAAGAAATAATACGACATACATCAAATCGATTTTGAAGGATTGATATTAAGTTGATTTGCAATTTTGTACAATTTGTGATGATAATTTGATGTTAGTATTGATATATTTTGCTTTCTGGGAAACCATGTGGGCAGCCTTCCCTGAGGACTTAAAGCTGTTCTAGCTGTAAAGGGTGAACTGACATATTGAACCCCCGTTGGATGAACAATGGGATACCATTTAAGCTCATATGTGAGTCAAGTCAGTTGAGCTGATACTTTTGGCAATATGTTGTATATTGGTCTTCAACAATCCTTTGCATGACAGGACATATAGGCACAGCCCACTTTATAGAATCCAACAAAAAATGCATTATTGCTTGATTTTTACTCTGTGTTATACATGCAAATTTACCCACCTGTATATGTTTTGGGTTTTATAATGTAAAGTTTTGGCCATTTGTTGAAAAAAAAATTGTCAGTTCTTTAGTGTCCCGCAATGTGGAAATTCGGTCTATTCATTTAACCCATCCCCATGGGGAGCAGTGTGCTGCCATTGTGTGGCTCCTGGGGAGCAGTGTAAGGTTAAGGTTCTAGAAGAGAATAGAATTCAACTTTATTGTCATTTCACTGTCACAAGTACACAGCAATGAAATTAATTCTCTGCATTTAACCCATCCCCTTGGAGAGCAGTGGGCTGCCATTGTGCAGCACACGGGGAGGGGTGTGGAGTTAAGAGTTTTGCTCAGGAACCCAGAGTGCAGGCTGTGGGGATTGAACTGCGTACCTGCAACCTTCTCAGAGTACAAGCACACTGCTCTAACCACTAGACCAACACTCCCCCAGGCTGATATAGGTAGGCGGGAATGGAGACTCTGCATCTCTGGTTTGCAGAGTCAAGCATGGACTGGTTGTTCAGTAAACCAGCTCAGATAACGGCAATAGATTTGGTTAAATTTGGTCAAACTAATAAAACTCAGGCTTCCAGAGCTAGAGGAGATAGACTGCATGTCTCAGCAAACTGCTCTCTAATCATTCAGAGCGTCACAGCTGCAGATGTTGGAACGTATCACTGCCAACAAGTTTTCAACCAAACAGGAAAGGAGACTACATACTCTGCTGTTTTATCTCTCGTTAACTGTGAGTATAGATTCTGAGTATATATATTTTGAGCTCCACCAACCATTAAACATATATATCAGTTATCAGTTAACCTCAGGACTTTGTTTGCTATATATATAGAATTTGTAGGGGGAAAAAAGTTAATCTTTTATTGTCCCACAATGGGGAATTCAGTCCACGCATTAAACCCATTCCCTTGGGGAGCAGTGAGCTGCCATTGTGTGGCTCCCGGGGAACAGCGTTGGGAAAAGGTTTTGCTCAGGAACCCAGAGTGCAGGCTGTGGGGATCGAACCATGTACTTGCAACCTTCTCAGAACACAAGCTCTAACCGCTAGACCAACACTCCCCCATATTTGCTGCATCCAGTTAAATTGCATAAGTAGGTTATTTCTTTCAGAAGGCTGAAAAAAAGAATGCAACCTAATTTTTCATTTACTTAATCATGTTTAGTTTAACACAACTGTTTTATGTCCTACCCTGCTAACAAGAAACAATTGTGTTAAAGTAACTAAATATGATTAAGTAAATGTAAAAAAACGGTTGAATTCTTTTTTTCAGAGAAAAAAAAACACATCTATGTGTGTTTTACATCCAGGAATGACATCAGGAAGGGCTAAAAGAGTTTAGAGTTAATTTCCTACACACAATAGTGTTCTTACTGTTGGCCCGATGAAGGGTGAGTGAAGAGGAGCGAGGAACAGGATGAAAGAATTATAATATGCCTAATTTAGACAGACAGGGAAAGGGAAGAGCAACTAAAAAAGCAGCAAAAACAAAACCTCCACACAGCTCAGTAGATATGCAACTTTATTGATTCCAAGGAAAACTAACTGTGGATAATAATTCATGTTCAATGCAAAATAAAATTATACACACCAGATGAATAGTATTAATGTTCGAATACATGAGTGTGATCTCTTTTTAAAACATATATTGCAAAACAGTCTTACCATAGCTCTGATCTGTGCTACTATGGTTCAATCTGCACTTTAGTAATTTCTTTGAAATTAAATTAAAACAAAAGCACAAAATATTATCTAAATGTAGCATACACAAAAAAAGGAAAAAAATACTTTTAACAGAAAATATATATTTTAAAAGATAAACATCAGTGCGAATATGGTTGTTGATTGAACTTTATGAGGTAAAGAAAATATAACATTCTTAAAAAAAGTGCACATTTTTTGCATTTACGATATCTGTTATTTTTACTTTTTATTATTACTGACAACGTTTCAAGCTCTTCTTTAACAATTTTGTTAAAATTAATTTCTTATTTTTCCGATAAGAGTCCCTCCTTACATTAAAGGGATGGCACACAATGTATGGGGTTGAGGGATAAGAGTACCGCCAACTAGTGGCGCTATATCCAATTCCTCCTCTGTAACTCCGGGGGGTGGAGCAAATCGAAAGTGCTGCAGGAGAGTGGCGAAGAAGATAAAGAGTTCCATTCTGGCCAGACCCTCTCCAGGACACATCCTGCGACCTATTTGAAACAGATCCTCAGCAAAAGCCTGAAAAATTTGGATTATGATATATAAAAACAAACTTACCTGCTGAAAAAGGCATGAAAGCATCACGCTTGACGAACTTCCCGTCTTTGTTCAGGAAATGGCCAGGATGAAAGACATTTGGCTTCTCCCACTCACTCTCATCTTGCAGGACAGACGTTAAGACGGGAATTACAGGGGTTCCCTGGAAATCACAGACCCATAATGATGATCTTCAAACTCAATGGATGCTTTTCTACCTTGGCTGAAATGAATTTGAGTCTCAGGCTTATGCAGATTGTAATAATGACATTCTTAGGAAGTAATTATTATTAAATCTTATAACTCAACAGATAGCAAAGCCCTTTACTGAAACAATACATGACAGGACGAAATATGTTTTAATCTTAGATGATGTTTTCTTGACATGAATCAATCAAACACGGTAAGGTCCTCTAGCAATGATTTA